CCGACCTCTGGGTACCTTTCAGTGGACGTCCGCAACGTCGAAGTGAACGGATTGACAACAGCCAGCTGGCGAAGCTGTGTTCTGAATGTGTATCAAAGTGCGCTGACGTCCGGGCTGAGTAAGGACCCACTGAACACCGACGAAGATCACGGGTCACATATTCGTCAAATCTTACTATCAGCAGGCATGTCCTTATGTCGTCAATCAAATTGCTAAACTGCACATTGGGTCTCTACACAGTCTCTGGAACTTATGGCTGTTCACCGACGTATTTCGGAAGGAATCGAGTACAATGATACTCGCAAAAATCTCACGGCAAAACTACGTGCTAGTCTGAAAAAAGACCGAGAAACCTGGTGGTCTCACGGTGCCACTGAGATGGAAACAGCCGCTACCGTTGGTAATCATCGCAAGCTATTCTACCTGATAAGGGAAACAAGCAGACCTGGTGTTAGCGAGAACGTACGCGGCGAGAGTGTGCATCTGATCCACAGCCTGTTAAAACGCTTGAAGCGTTGGGCCGAACACTTTTCAAGGCAGTGTAACCAACCAGAGTTATAGCTTTCTTTTTCGGGCGACCTTCTCGCTGGGCCGTCACCTTGGATCGGCCCTGATGCGCAGAAGTCGAAAGTGGGATCAGGCTGTTGAAATTGCATAAGGCCGCAGGGGCAGATAGAATTCCCCCAGCCCTCTTTAAATTCAGGGGATCTACCCTAATAGATGGTTTACACGAGTTGCTAGTGAAACGTCGGGAACAGGAGACTGTCCCGACAAACTGGAGCCGCTCCGTCATTGTCCCAATTTGCAAGGGAGGTTCCCGTACGGAATACGGCAATCATAGAGGAGTCAGTCTGATTTTAATTGCTTCTAAACTGCTTGCCTCTGTCATTCTCCAAAGAATGACTGATACTGGTGAAAGGCAGACTCGTGAAGAGAAAGCCGGATTTCGTTGAGGTCGGGGCTGCATCGACCACATCTTCCCTTTGCGTCAATTGTTGGAGCACCGCCATGTTTATTTCTCGACCCACCGTTGTCGTGTTCCTCGACATAAAAGATGCCTTCGACTCAGCCGATTGACGTGCCCTTTGGGACTGCCTGCTGAGGAAAGGTGTGCCTGATAAATATGTAAACATTATCAAAGCGCTTTACGCGCATAGTTCGGGCAGAGTGAGGGTTTATGGAAAACTGTCGCCACCCTTCAGTATCACCAGCGGTGTGAGACAAGATTGTCCGCTGTCACCTTTCCTCTTTAACTTCGCTATTTATGTAGTCATGGAAACAGCGTTCGCTGAACACGACCTAGAAGGTGCAGAGCTGCTTGCCAGTGAGCGACTTCTTCACTTAGAGTACACGGACAATATTGCCCTAATCTGTGACAGCTCCCAAACATGCCAAGCAGCACTAGACCGATTAGTACTAGCGGTCAATCGTTTTGGGCTATGCTTTGGTCCGTCGAAATGCAAAGTACTCCAAGATTGGCGAGGACCCACCCCTGCGCTAACGCCTGATGGTTATCAGCTAGAAGTCGTCCAGGAATCCAAGTATCTGGATAGCTATAATAGCGCCTGTGGGATCGGAGATGAGATTACGAACCGTATAGCAAAAGCTCGAGGTGCTTTTGTCAAGCTCCGCCACCTGTGGCACAGTGACGACATCACTCTCGCCCTGAAGGGCCGAGTTTATAATGCAGCCGTCCGTTCAAGCCTCCTGTACGGTCGTAACACCTGGCCCATCAGGTTGACAGACATAAAGAGGATCGTCACATTCGGTCATCGCTGGCTCCGCAGCTTAGCTCATGTCTGGTGGGAGCACCGCGTGAGTAATGAGCGTGTTCGGCGCCGCGTATTTGGTGCAGGAAGAGCGAGTGAACCGCTCAGCACCGTTATATCACGCACCAGGATCTGATGGCTGGGCCACGTGTTGCGCATGCCAGCGCACCAACTCCCGCGACGTGCATTGTTTACGCGCTGGGGAGTGCGGTTGGAAGAGGAGTAGGGGAGGCTAAGTGATGACTTGGTCGAGCGAAATGAAAACCCTTACTTCGAATTTGGGGTCGGTTGGTGCATCCCGACATCCTGGCTGGGGTCGTAAGGACGATAAACACGTTTGGTTAGAGACACTTGTTGATATGGCTAGGAGCCGTCCTCAATGGTATTTGTGTTGTGAGTTCCTTTGTCCATTCCCCTCCTGCCTAACTTCCCCCTCCAATCACAATCGCATTCGTTAGGCCTAACATAACTTTTTGTGTTACGATAGCCGGCTGATAGCTATCCGGAACGATGTCCATCCGTTACTGGGAACTCAGCCGGCGTGCCACTGTTCTTTTTGCTTCTTGTCCTTTGTATTGCGGCACAATAGCTGAGGTGTTTTCTACCTGTGCCTAACGTGTATAATGATGATGAGTACGAGAAATGTGAGTCGATGGCTGATTCCATTTTTCGGAATGATGACATCCATGGTGATAGTGCCCCTCGGATGGAATTTTCTGCCGTTCCACATTCTAAGACAGTATTGTGCTCTGTCGCACTGTACTCCGGAACAGTGTATCTCGGGTAAAATGTCGACCGTGGCTGGATATCCAACTGGAAAGGTATGGGGCGTTTTCAACCATTAGCGTCGCACATAAGCCTCTTTTATCTCCTTGACGTTCCATGTCACTGATGGCAAGTTCCTGAAAAGCTGGCGCCTGGTCAGAGTTAACTGAATTCAGTTTCTTTGATGGGCAGCGTCTCGAGAAGTGATACTTCTACAAGCATTTTATGCAGGTCTTTCCCCAGACGGGACAACTTTCCTTTCGGGGGTTATGACTGCGACCACAGTACCGGCAGGTTGGTCTATCTGTCGGAGCATTCTGCGATATCGCTGAGAAATAACACATAGTTCAGCGAGCGAGTGAGGCTTTATCTAACGAAGTTGGAACGCAGTTACTGTTTCGCTGTTGCAAATGTTCAACATTAGGTTTCTCTGCTGCAATAACTTTCGAGTAATGTGCTCATCCTGAATGCTCAGTATAATTTGATTTTTCAGCAGCGAATCGCGTAGGCACTCACGACGTTGCGTTTTTGCTAGCAATTTAAGCTCTGTTGCGCAGCTGTCGTCTGATTCACCTGGAAATCGGTTTCGACCAAAAATACAAGTAGCGTTGTTAAGTTTCGTTAGCTTTGCCTTCACAGAATTCACCAGAACTTGGGAGCACATGGTTCAAACTCAGTTCTTGATGTTCGTTTGCCAATTTGAATGTCTCCAGCACACGTTTTGCTTCATCGCTAACAGCAGGTAAAAACATCGCCAATTGGTAATCAACCGGATGATTGTCCAACTGCGTCAGAGTGGAGAAAATCAGTCCGCTTGGTTTTCCACAAGCGCCCGTTTTCAGGAAGCGAACCCTCTGTCATCTGCAATGGAGTCGGCATCGCGATAGATGGCTGACATCCAAAACAAAGCTGCTGCTTGCTCATTGATTTCTTCTTTCCTCTGTCACCATGTCACGTAGCGCCTTCCGAGAATCAAAAAAAACGTGGGCTGGTATACGATCAGAACCTAGTTGGATCAGAATGCAACGTATCATACATAGAGTAATCTACGCTCCGTTGATCAACTCCGATTTGCTCTTCCATGACTGGTTGCCTCCGGCAGAAACTTGGCATCGATTGAGCCAGTTAGACGTGCGGGTCTACGAAGTGACCCTATGACACGTAAGCAGCCGTTGTTACTCGACTGGCGGCAGACAATCGATCGAGCGGCCACTTGACTGTCCGTTCCGAATGCGTAGGCGGGTACAAACAGCCGCTAGTACCATGCTCAGACAACAATGAGCAACATCATTAGTAGTGCTCTGTTAACGTGAATTAAAGTAACCTGGCCCAACGCACTTAGACCACTCAGGTAGATAACTTGAACTGTACTGTTCGGAAGGTCAATACGTCAGCGTTCCTCATTTGTAGTCATTTGGCATACTTTGGGATTGAGATGATGGCTACAGCCGCAGGATTAAAAGGACATTTTCAATGCCTCATGGAATCACACCAGGGATGCTAAACTAACAACCAATGACAGTCTTTCCAGCAGGGATTAACGTAGATCATTAGGTACGGGTGATTTGCTTCATTTCAACGGCGCCATGCGTCGAATGATCTGGTAATAGAAGTAATAGCACAGGTCCAATAAAGTGCTAATCGAAACGTCTCACCTATCATTCAAGACAAATGTACTGGACGAATTTACTGCCTGTCATTCTCAGCAAGTGTTGTAATACCTGGTGCTTTTCGCGGATCCGTGCTTCAGGAAATATGGAAGAGAACCCAGTACCTTCATGTAGCAGTGGTGGTCTCCATCGCAAGGGCTCTTCCTATCGAACAACACTCGTGGTCAACACCGAGGCTCTTAGGTAGATCCGTTTCAGCGAACTGCCGATATCAGCAGGGAGAAAATGGCAACCTTTGAACTTCATTCAACAAGGTATAACATTTTGCCCAACGAAATATGATCTGCACGAAAACGCAACGTAAATGATGACGGAGTTGAACAAAAATGAAAACGTCGCATAAGTGTACAGAAGACATCCTACCAAGTTACCCGGATTACGGTTGTCTAACTGTACTAAACAATGACAAGGGTGTGTAGGCGAATACAGATTGGTAGTGTACCAGTAATAGGTAATTATGCGTTATTACCGCATAACTGAAAAGTGGTTGTACGATTGCTAGGACAGTCCCAGAACGCCCATATGCCGGCAGAAGCAAGGTCTAGAACTCGGGGTGCAAAGCAAACCGGTTAACTAGATGCATCACGATTTTCCCAAAAGAAAAGCTGCATACTGAAAAGATCGAAAAGTTTTGCGATGGACAATTCATTGTCAGCGAAAGATGAAGGAAAGAGAATGACCACAAGAGGAAATACGAGTCGTTCTAAGCATAAATCACGATGGGTTTCAAACTCAGACCCATCAAAAATTCGCAACCCTTAATACCTGAGCAAGGAAGAATATAAAAGCCACTCACAGCAAGAGACGGAAGTGGAATTCTTTGTGCCATTTGATTGATGGGTCAACAAATGAGTAGAACAGTTTAACGGTAGCGATGATATCTTCAAGGCAGGGGATGCATCAGTGGGACTCGTTGTAAGGTTGACTGGGCGACGATGCATCATTTTTGGCGTCCCAATCCCGCTAGACAGCTGGCCGGCCGATGTGTGGGCAGCAGCGTCACCGCCGGATGCCTGAACCAAAAACCGGACGAGATGTGCGTGGCCATTTCTCATGGCCAAATCTAACGGAGTGAATCCGAGCATGTCAACGACGTTGATCTTCGCACCGTAGTATACCAAACAGACAGCGGCCTCCAGGAATCCGTTCAGTGCCGCTAAGTGTAATGGCGTTTGACCATCCATATTCCGATCGGACACGCGCAATCCATGATGCTGAATGAGCCACTGAATCAACTGCTGTCGAGTTGATGAAGAAACGCACGGTAAATCGGGTTTGACCGAAGTCAGGGCTGTGCTGGAGTCCGCCAAGAAGACGGCGTTCGCGTCGGTGCAGGGAGATCGATGACTTGGTGGAACATCCGGTGGGGAACATGCGGCATGCAACGCAGTGTTGTGAGTTAGTAAGTGTCTAAAATCCGAAAGGCCGCAACCGATGGCAGATGTATGGATCATATTGGTGGTTATCCCAAGATTCGCACCTGAGAGGTCATTCGGAGGGACGCTGTTGGCTGGCCGATTTGTCCTACTGTTTTTCGGCGATGGGTCGTCGTACGAGCTGAGCGGCGCAGATAAACTGGACAAGACGTGGAAAACGTTGGCAAGGTCTCCTGATCTGCATGCCTCCAGCACGCAGTACCCTGTGGATGAAAAAAAGGTTCAGTAGGCAAACAAAAACAAGAAATACGTGGAACGGGATGCCCCTACATATTCCATTTGTACTAATACAGGAGGGGTAGAAAAGAGAGCCAACGGTCAGGGCGACCATTTGTATATGAAGGTAAAACTGAGGTCAAAAAGCACATTGCGTGTGTACTACTGCCAATGTCTAGAATACACTTAATAAACGGTAAACTGCTGTTTATTCAAAATTAAGCATCACAAACTATTAGTCCGGTATAAGAAGTAGGTAAGAAAACCGAGTGTCTGCAACGAATAATAACTAATTCCGTCTACTAATGCAGAAAGGAGAAAAATAAGTGAAGCATTCGGAACATGCTTGAAAGTAAATTTGGACCACGACAAATAACTGATGCAGGACAGACAAAGACAAGAATACATTTAGCGAGCACAAGTTCTCGTTTAGAACAGACCCCTGGTCAAAACAAAAGCAATATTCGATTGTCGTTAAAAAAGGAAACGTGCGACAAACAGCAATCGAACAAAAGATAGCGCAGAAGTGATTGGCAAGGACGTCAATCGATGATAATCAATGGACCTATTTCGCATAATTCTTGCTAACGAGAACGAGCATGGGTTAACATTAGAGGTGACTCGAAATGGAGACAAAGGGTCTGTAAACACTTACACTTGTGTGGCAATCGAATAAGCGGACAAGATAGATGTGTATTCTGATATACACTAAAGAACAGGAAATATGATAGGCGATAAAAAGTGAAATTCAGCAACACAGATTGCGTAATATTGGAACAGTAGCATTAGAAAACTCAGTGGAAGAAATCAGGGGTAACGAGAAAGCTCCATACTGAAACCGCTAACAGCAATTAGTATAGATAAGTAATCGATGTGCAGCGTACACGCAAAGCGGCAACGATCAGCTGAATCCGATCTCGTACCAACGACGGAATGGATAGCTTGGAAAGGTGCATATATATATATATATATATATATATATACATATATATATATATACGCCGATTCACGGCGGGAGTGCAATACATTGATTTACGAAAATATATGTACAGTTTGGTTCACACCAATTTGTGATCGGTGCCACACTCAGCTGCACGCAGTACACGTGTCACGCGCACTTCCCGCATATCACGCTGTCGTACGATTACATAGTCCAGCAGGTGGGCGTAATCACTCCGTGAGTGCGTCCAAGTTGCTATATCACTCGCACTCAGTGCCAACCGAGTGTTCCTGATCGTCAGTCCGTGAGTGGCACACAGTGAGAGCAGCCAGCCACCGTTCGCATTCGCTGAACCAATGCCATGCGAACCGATAACATCTGTCCATACCGGTGCATCACGCCCAACGCGCGCGTTGAAATCACCCAGCAGAAATAGTCGGTCGCTCCTCGGCACAGACCGTATCACGGAGGATAGCTGAGTGTAGATTTGATCACGCGTGTCATCAGGATAACACATGGTCGGACCGTACGTGCTTATAAAAGTAGCAAACTTACCTCTTCCGAGTCGTAGGCGATCAGTCGCGCGCTGATGCCTGTTGGTTCACCCACCAGCTGGCCATGGAAGCGATCGGATACTGCAATTCCGACCCCATGTTCACGTGGAGCTGAGGCGGCGTTTCCCACCCAGTAGATTGTGTAGCCAGCAGCTGCTTCATGCAACTTACCTTGCTCAGCAAGGTGCCTACCTGTCTATTACCCACTACCTCGTCCATACTGGCTCCAGGAGACAGTTGGTCGTTGCTAGAGGGGACAGGGTGCACGATCGTTGTGGCCGTGTTAGGATCAAAGAGGGGTTCCATGCAGTCAGTGTGAAGCGGACTACGGTCCAGCCACCGTCTTGTGTGTGCGCTTGATTCCCAAATACAGTGTGCTTGTGTTTGCCTGTGAAGGAGTGTGGGCCGGCTCCCATGGTACCTCTGTAGGCGCAGGCGTCCTGTGGCTGGCCACAGCGACAGGCAAATCCGAAACCGGATGCCGCCAACCATATATATATATATGTATGTATATATATATATACATATATATATACATACATATATATATACATATATATATATATATATATATATATATATTCTCCTTAGGCCAGCGACTTCCTACCTCTAGGGAGTAAAATGGAATTTAAAGAGTGGTAAAGATAAGCACAAGTATAGGGTTAACGCTCAGTCACCAAACACAATTATTAAAAAAAGCATCTGTGCCAAATCATCTAACAAACAACATAACCAGGAATGGTTCGTCATTAATGACAAACCATTAGTGAATTAAATCAATTCAGATGATAAACGTTGTCACCTAAAATACTGACACAGGCCTGCATGCATCGCAGTGCCGCTAAATGATGCGTCTAGCAACTCGCTCGTTGACCGTTGTCCGTCAGAGTCATGCAGTTGTTCGCCACTCTGTGACCAATTCTTTCATGTGAGGTTGATGTCGCCGAGTTCGCTAACTTCTGAACATATTATGGTTTATGTAGATGTTAAGCAAAATCAGGTCAGCGAATTAATTGTATGCCTTTAAACATCGATAACAAAGCGTTCGTTTTAAACTGTTTACAAAAATGTCACAGTTGTCTGCAGTAACTCGCGTAAAAGGGAACATGTAGTAACTGTTAAGAAATTGTTAAAACCAAGCAATATCAACCGCTTCAGTAATCTAGATTACTTGTTGAGTTAATAAGAAAATAACCCATAAGTGTTTTTTCGTATGAGTAAAATGGATCCATTTTCCGTAATTTGAAGAAGAAAATACAACCCCTAATAGTTAGTTGCTAATTAAATTAAAGTTATTTTTGGGGTATTCAATCATATTGAACCCCTTTCATAGGTAATAGCATCAAAAGGGTTGGGAAGTACTGCCTTAGAACTTTGACGCCACAGCAAATACCCTGTGCGTGCATGTGGTGTCTGTCTCGCTCTCAGAAGTTTGTGCGCGTGTTTGTGTATCTAGCTCGTATACTGTGTCATTGCCCTTGACTCCAAGTTTTCGGATTGCCCTTGATCGATTGATGCGAACCCCCACTCCACTTGTCCAGGTACACAGGCATACAGTGTACTAGCGCTTAAAAGGTATTCTGTCACTGTACGAGTAGTGTAGGTTGTATTCCAGCTCAAAATTATGGGACATGGGTGTTTGCCCACTGTTCCATAGGCCGGGTTACTAGTCTTGTTGACGGTCCGTGACGTCGACGGTTTCTGTGTGTGCTGACTGTAAGCGTAATTTGTTGTCGACCTATGAGAAAAGCAACTGAAGTCGGGTTCTGTATGTTATTAATGTCCTGTAAACAGTCCTGTAGATTTTGGATTTACTCTGTGTCTTGAACAGGTTTTGATCATTGCGTTTTAGTCAATACAAGGACTCACCCTGATATTCGTTGAAAAGTTGACTTCGTAGCTCGGATGTTGCGGCCAAATCGAGAGCCGACTTTCCATGACAGTTGGGCTTCGTTGGGTCGGCTCCGTAAGCCAAAAGCAAAGAACAAACCTCGGTGCGCGATTTGCTTGCCGCCTCGTGGAGCGGGGTGTATTGCCACAGATCAGCGGCATTTACTTGAGTTTGGGTGGAACCAGTTGTGATTAACAGCTTGCACACATCAAGGTGACCATAGGAACAGGCGTTGTGCAGTGGAATAAGTCCTCCCTTATCCTTGGCTACCACATCCGCACCGTTAGCCAACAGAATCTTCACAATCTTCGATCTGTGAAAGTAGATAATTTAAAGGAATACAGCAGGTATCACAGAAAGAGAGCCCAACCAGGCTCACAATTTCCTATCAGAGGTAGCAAAATGCGGTGGTTTATCGCCGGATGAATCAGAGAATGACATACTGTTAACTGAGTCGTCAACACAGAAACAGTGAATCCATTCTAGCAGGGGAATAAGGATAAAGTAAAAAATAATGCAGGGTGACCGTTTGTTGCTGTTATGGACTACGGACTAAGTGGTGCAGACAGGTGCACTAGAAGTAGGTTGAATCTATGCCTATAGTTTTAAAATATACACCGAATAGTAAGCTATAAAATGTAAATGCCGTCACTCTAACTGCAAGTATCATATTAAGGTAAAGGAATGGACTCCTTACAGTGCCCCAGCAGCGAACTCCGGATGAAGGGGATTAACGATTCACTAATGTCTAGCTGTATTTGTTTGTAGCGACGCTTTAGTAAGACATGTAGGAAGTATAGATAGATACCACGTGAGGAACGTGGATAAGGTACCCAGAACTACAGAATAATATATGCCTGAAAAGGGTCTGCTTGGAATTGTGGATGACGTAGACGGAACTTAAACCATACCTGTTATACCCTGCTGCCAAGTGAAGCGGCGTAGACTTTCGCCCATCTGCGGCGTGACAGTTTACGCTTTGGGGTGTCAACAAACTCATTAACTTCTCTTCGTTTCCAGCACGCGCTGCTTCTAAAATCTCATCCTTCTGGTATTCTCCCAACAGTGCCAACCGACCGGGACCTTCAGCCAATTCGACAGGGGTTCTACCATCCAGATTGCGAGCGCTTGGATCCGCTTTGGACTGAAATTGGAGTATAGAAACAGCGTGGATACGTAACTTGATATAATTCACATACACAGAAAGTACGAGCCGCAGCCTTCGGATGTGAATGAGTTGAATTCTACAACCTCAAAGACTATGCTGACTAGCCCATGTGTTATGCATGGATTCAGGCATAGATTAGGTGTTGTCCGACAATACTGCAACTGAAAAAGACATCGGCGGTACGCAGGCACGCAGTACCGACGCTTCGCTGCCACGCAATCACTACCATCCGTCATACGTGTGTTAAGGATGCTGCGTGAATCGCCCGGGGACATCCAGACCATAAGGAAGACGCCTTGTCCTTTCGGTCAACGGTCGGCAACTAAATAGATTAAAATCCGAAAGAGCCAGGTAATCTTTGGAAAATATATCCCCCAAAACCACCTAAGTCAAGTGTAGTTAGCGTTTCTGGCGTTTCTGGATGGAGGTCTCGGGATTCGCCAAACCAATGTCGGACACCTTATCGGATATCGTGTGGTCAAAAATTCCGTGGTGTGCCCGAATTCGTCCTTCTATTCGGACTCTTGACGATTATCATTCATGAAGATTAGTGAAAGGTGGGATTTAAAATTAAACTTACGAAGATGCCACAAACACATCTGGTTAAACAGCTACTGCACATCCAGCAAAGCATTGAGCGGACATACCATCATTTCGAGTCTCCAAAAATGCATAAACTCTTTGTCTCCTGTAGGGGTGGGGCCCACGAACTACTATTACAAGTTCAAGGTTAAGACTACTGAGAGAAGGAGGTTGAGTCGCAGCCCCCGTCACTCAGCATAGTCACCTTCTGCTGACATGCGTGTTTTCAAATTGCCACTCCTACTCATACAGTCGCCACACACCCAAGAAAATACGGGGTCTTGGTAGTTGCCGCCCATCCCACGTGACGCAGTGATCATAACCAACAACATATCACGGATCCGAGTCCCACAGGGATAAATGGGTTGCATAGTTTATGATTTGCGAAAGCATAATATAGTAAGCCAGTGCTTCTACGGACCTGCGGTGACTGTCTGACGGTTGTGACTGGGACGAAACTCCTTTGAATATTAAATTTCTTATCCATACCACACAAATCAACATCATCAATGTCGAGGTAACTGTTGTCATGTAGGTAACAAGACAAACAGCACCTTCGTGTAGAAAACATGGTGGATCATCTGAGCAACAACCGACGCTTTAGTATCACCTAAAGCAGCTACCAAAACTACCTCCATATCGCATAATTATATATATATATATATATATATATATATATATATATACTCAGAAACGCTGCGGGGATCGAGGAAACCATCTCATATATTCACCTCAATGGCTGGACCCAGCATGTTAGAGAGCCAACCAGAAGTGCCACTACCTTTGACCTTGTATTCACGATGGGAATCTCTTACGCTCATATATTCATGGATAATTCACTACCTGGCTGTGATCACAACACGGTGCTTTGTGACTTGACTATAGATTCAACTAAACGACCAAGTGAAATGCTAAAACCCATTCGCAACCTCCATCGTGTGGACTGGAACTCATTTAATGAACTTACCAGTACCATGAATTAGAATACGTCATTCCTAACTCACAACCCTACAATGGTTACAAATGAGTTTATTAACAATATAGCCTTTGGTGTGCATCTACTGGCACCTACTGTATGGAGAAATACCCATGAAGATAGTGGTGAACTCAAGCTTCTGTACAAAGCCAAAACCAAACTAAAGAAACTTAAATAGGTATATAACAGGAGCAACAGCTTCGCAACATTGCTACACATACACTAAGCTCTGGTACATTTACAACATCTAACCCAAACGGCTAAAATCAAAGAAAGTCGGGTACCTAGAAATCCTGAGAAAGTGAGTACAATGATGCAACTACTCCAAAGAATGAACCCTAAAGCCCTTCCAGAAATTGAAACGTTGGCTCTAGACGATGGTTCAATAACGCGCGACATCTCCTGTTTATGCGAGGCCATGAACTCTAGTTTTGCCTCATGGTTTGTCCCTAACACACAGCCGTTTCATCCTCTACTTACAAAAAGAACGACCGATCTATACTGCAATATTCCTGTGACGTTAAGAGATGTGCAAAGTGAGATCGCATCCATAAAACCAACAATTCGTCCAGGCCCAGATAGCGTCTCCCCAACTGGTATAAAACTCGGAGGAAAAAACCTCGCTCTATTGTTATTAAACATCTTCACATTTCCTCACACTACCAGCTGCCTTCCACGTCAATGGAAGCACTACATTATAACGCCTAAGCACAAGAGTGGCCCGAGAAATAAAGTGTCAAGCTACTGCCCAATAAAACACACTTCTGCTGCTTCCAAAGCCCTAAAGAGAATAGTCAAGAAGAAGATCGTTCAATATCTTAAAAGATTGGATCTGATCAACCACTCACAGCATGGCATTCTCTCAAAACGCTCCCGCGTTACGTGCCAGCTACAATTTCTCGATCATATCACGACTATGAGTCACAGAGGAATGGCAATTAGTATAATTCTGTTGGACATGCAAAAGGCGTTCGATCGCATGCCGCACAAGCCACTGCTGTCTGCTCTAGAGCCGTATGGAATTGGAAATCTTTTGCTAAACTCGTTCGACTCATAGCTAAACGGTCGAACACAGGTAGTTAAAATCGGTCAGCAATATTCTACACGGAAACAAATCACCATCGCCGTCTTCCAGGGAAGTGTGCTCGGACCACGACTTTTCCTAATCTACGTAAACAACATATGCGACCCAACCAAACGTGGACACCCATTTCTGTTTGCAGATGACGTCAAACTGGTCTACTTGTTTCGTCCAGATCAACTACAAATGTGCTTGGGAAACATCTGTGAAGACCTATCCGCACTAAATATAGCTAGTGAGCGTTTATTAATGAAGTTCTCCGCAGTGAAATCCCAACTACTTGGGTACAGATGCCGAATCCCAGAAGGCTCTATCACACTTGCCGAAAAGGTGATCCCAACGACTGATTCAGTTCGGGACTTAGGAATTAGGTACTCCAACTCTTTCGATTTCTCCGAACATGTGCTTTACCAGGTTGCGAAAGCAAGGCAGTTATGCGGATATATCACCAGTACTTTCTCCCTGCCTGAAACACGACTTGATTCATTCACGACGACTGACCCTAGAATACTGTACTATCGTTCACAGCTAATTGAAAAAGAAAGACAGAACGGCTCTGGAAAATGTCCAACAATCATTTACCAAGCTGGTCATGGGACGCTGCTCAAACCTGAGTTATTACGATCGCTGTCGAAAACTCCAACTGGATCCTCTTTGGCTGAGACGCTTAAAGAACAACCTCGTTCTCTTCTACAACATTATAAACCAACGAATTTACGCAGACAGCACCGCACTTGAACTACGGAAGACTGCAGTCTATCCCATACGTAATGGCGGCTACTTTATACGCATAAACCTTTCAAGTCAAATAACACGATCGAATTTCTTCTTAGTGAGATACACTAATACGTGGAACAAACCCCCTACAGATACGCATGAGTGCAAGCAATGTCACATTTCGAAATTCCCTACAGACGTGTCGAAGATATCTGACTCACAACAAACTTTAGAAACATTGACAGAAGCTGGTATAAAAAGCATGAGTAGATATTCACTTACAACCAGCTTACCCACTACGTGTCATTACCTACAATACCAAATCCCGTGTCTGTGCAACCTAGTAGCCTCACACTTTTATTATCTACTCCTGAGCCGCAAAAACGAAAAAAGGAAGATACAAATATCCGTAAATTTTACACATTAGGTGCTCGGGTCTAGGATCAGAGGGAAAAAAGCATGATCCGAAGTTTTATTAATAAAATTTTCTTTAGCATTATGATTTACGCCGCATAAAGCATGAAACCTATTCACTATACAAATGATCGTTCCCACTAATAGGGCCGTGTACCGTTTGACGATATATATATATATATATATATATATATATATATATATATATATATATATATATATATATATATATATACAACAGTCTAGAAATAGACATGGGGCCATCAGAAAGCATGGAACTCAACGGAAGGTAGATATCGGAAAAGAAAACATAATACAACACGCAATAGCAAAACTTCAGCCGGAATACTGAAGAGATGTCTCTGTGCAAGTACGCCTAAAATCTCTCAGGTACAATGACCTGTTATACTGAATACTGGTTTGAAGCAGCGAGTAGAGCTTCCTCTGGGTAGCTGCATCATTCGTCGCTCTTGGACATTTACTCCTTATTTATCGTTCCGCTCTCTATATTTTGCCTCTGCAAAGTGTTTGTCTAGGAGCTTCTTAAAATCCGACACTGAGTTTGCCTCTACTATGTGCTGCGGCAGGTCGTTCCAGACATTCACCACTCTGCGTTCGAAACAGAGTTGGTGAGCGACGCGCTTTAATTTCGGTACGATAAGTTTATACCGGTGTCCTCGCGTGCAACTTGGTGTGCGCAGATGAAGCAGTTGTCTCAACATCGGGTAATCACTCAGATGTAATATCCGGTGCGTCATGATGAGGTCAAATCTCATCCGACGATAAGCTAGGGTGTACAGCCCTAGTTTCTTACATCGGTCTTCGTATGTCATACCTCGTAAGTTGGGAATCAGCCTAGTGGCTACATGCTGCACCCGTTCAAACTTTTCTACCCCGCCCAGGGTGATGGGACAATACGCGGGTGAGCCGTACTCTAACATTGGTCGTATTATCGAGACGAAGAGGCGAGTAGCAATCTCTTCGGACCAAGTGCTGAAGTTGCGCCTGAGAGCCCAAAGCATCCGTAGGCTGTTTTCGTACAGCCTATTCGTGTTGTCAATGGACTTTAGGTCGTAGCGTGAGAGCACACCGAGGTCGCGCATGGAAGGCGCGGGATGCAACGGTTGACCAGCCACTGTGTACGTTCGGCTGTGTTCACACTTATCCAACCTCATAAATTGCGACTTGGCAGGGTTGATCGGAAGGTTAACCTCTACAGACCATGTCGAGAGGCGGTCGAGGTCCTGCTGAAGTAAATCACAATCATTGAGTGTGCGGATTAATCTCCACACCTTCAAGTCATCTGCGAACAACGCACAAGGTGATTGGAGTAACTGAGGCACATCGTTTATATGGATCAGAAACAATATCGGCCCCAGTACAATACCTTGGGGCACGCCGCTGCTCGATGGATACCAGTCAGTTAGATGGTTGTCCACATGGACCCTCCACTTTCGATCAACAAGGAAATTTTTGATCCATTTGTGCAGCGAACCACCAACACCGCACATCCGAGATGTTTTATGTCGGCAGTGTTTGTAGAGGAATTGCTTGAATTCTGACACCGACTTTGTCTCTACTATATGCGGCGGCAAGTTGTTCCATATATCCACCACTTTCCATTCGAAATAGAGTTGGTAGGCGACCGCTTCAAATCCGATACTACAAGCTTGTTCCGGTGTCCTCGTATGCTGCTTGGTGTGCGCATATGCAGCAGCGGCCTCAACAAGATGTAATATCCGGTGCGTCATGATGAGGTCAACTAGTAGTCTTTCAACGGTCTTCGTACGGCACACGTCGTAAAGTGGGGATGAGCCTGGTGGCCACATGCTGTGCCCACTCAATGCATTCTACCCCGCCCCGGGTGATAGGAAAGTATGATGGTGAAGCGTACTCCAGCATTGGTTGAACAGACAATTGGCAATCTCATTGGACCAAATTCTGAAGCTACGCTGGAGCGCCCGAAGCATAGGAAGCCCATTTTGGTAAAGCCTATTCATGTTGCCCAAAGACCTTAGGTCGCAGTGTGAGAGTACACCGAGGTCTTTCATGAAAGGTGCGGGATGCAACGGCTGACTGGCCACAGTATAGGTTTGACCGTGCCTACCCGTACCCAACCTCATGAACAGCAACTTGACCGGGTCAATCGGAAGGTTGACCACTGCAGCCCACGGTTGGTCTTTGCCGATTGGAGAAGACATCAAGGGGCAAAGGTAGCAGAATGTTATGCTTAGCAACGAGAAATTGAAATAACTAAAAGAGCTAATTGCTTCCATGGATGCTTCGTAGTGATCACGCTGTCCTCGACAACCGTCAGAGGAATCATATTTGCCTGAAAATCAGACAACCTGTGACACAAAGAACGGAAGGCGTTCGCGCTATTCTCTAGTAATGAGAGGTGCCAGTTAGGAGCAAACCAAATAAATACATCTTATATCGTCGTGGGTGATGACTGGTGACTAAGGCCAGACTCATTAAACCCATACAGTATTTGGCGGATGATTGCAGTAGGTCCAATTCCGGTGGCATTATGAAAAAAGGCGACTGAAGATAGGCAAATTTTAAATCCGACTACAGGTAACCAAAAGTTAGGGCATCAGATTTAAAAAATGGCGAAAGGTCGCCTGGAGCATAGAATGAATACATTAAGTTACGTGGAAATATAAATCACTACGAATCCTGCCGTGAAATAAGAAAAAAGGGGGGCTGTCAGCGATAAACGAGAACAGGGCATAAAACCAAAGTTGCTGGCAACTAGAAACAAGAAGGGAAGTGCAGTTAGCCGAACATCGACTAAACCATGTGTATCATAAAAGATACCAGGGAGAAAGAAGTAAGGTTCAAGGCCGGTTAGATCTGAAGCCGGGTTTCATATAAACAAAAAGAGGAAGGTTTGAGACAGTTCATCACGGTCTACTCTCAGTCAGCAGGCTTAGGCTAGTCTGGAAAAGCAGCAGAAAGCCTTATTTCTCGGGTCTAAAACAAGGTAAGTGAACAAACAGAAATATCTATATAGTAGGTCAACAGAGAACTACTGTTAATGCTGGCCAAAGAAGTAGATGGTGTGAACGAATTGTGGTAATGTCAATGAGGAGAGCGGAAAAAGTGCATCTCTCTTCGAATTCCAACAAGCCAGCTAAATTTCAGGAAATTACACATTTCAGACCGAAAGGAGCCAATGAAGGGAAGGTTGGCTAGAAAGGTCTAAACCAAAGAAAGCAGAAAGACATCAGACATGATGACATACTCGAAGAATGTGCTAGCGAGCTGGTAAACACAGCGCATAGTTACAGGACAGACTATATGAGGTAACGGAAACGTAGGTACATGTACTAACCTGAAGTAAAAGAATACAAACTTCGACTTTCCCCTTGATAGCGGCTTCATGTAAAGGTGTGTAATTCCAACAGTCTCGAGCATTAGGATCAGACCCGGCGGCAAGCAATAAACGGACCACGTCAACATGTCCAAAAGAACAAGCGTTGTGCAATGGGATAAGACCTGTAATATAAATTAAGCGCATACATTGTATGACTGTTAGTCTATAGCAGAAGGAGGTTAATTGCATGTCGACACTTAAACGTGCCCACAACGCAGAGAAATAGCCGACAGCGCAGTAACTAGGTAGCTAAAAATTCCTAGGTTAACCACTCAAACGCGCTTTGGGTTTGTTACAGGAAAAGGTGCAACCTGAAATATGTCGTTAATCTTCGAAAGGTGAATGACTAGAAGCAAGACAATGTCCGTCAAAGTAAGTCATGGTGACAGTAGTGTGAGAAAAGGGCATCAGCAGCAGGCCGGTACGCAGTACCGACTCTTCGCTGCCGCGCAAGCACCATCAGTCGCACGTGGATACTGTGAGTGTCGCCCAGTCCCTACGCAGTCTCGAACCCGCACCCTCGGATTAAAAGGCAGGCTTGTGATCCTTACGGGCCGGTAGTCCTGTGAGAAGGGATAGTGTAGAACCCGCAGGAAATTCAAAGATCAGCTGCAGGAAAAGGAATGAAGACAAATCCCAGGGCAGCCCAAATCAGGTAGAATTGCTCCCTGGTAAATGAGAGCTTGTAAATCGCTTTCCAAATAGGAAAGCTGGGCACTGAACGTAGGCGGTGGGTAATTAATAATCAATCTCTGCGGTAGAACGCATAGCTAGGTGAGCTTAATGTTCAATAACTACAAAAGAGGGGACTAGAAATGTCTTGGAGCTTTAACCATACATGCATGTCGCCATAAACAGTGCGGAGGAATTAAAGTCCCACACAAGACAGTCGCTCGCAAACCGAGGTGCGTACTTAGAGTTTCCAAATTGCTGTGCTGTTATTCTAAGCATTCCTGGTGGCTCTCGCGGATAAAACCTGAAAGGTAACGAACAAATGCCGCACTGTACCGTACCGGTGCAATGCAACACAAACAGTAATGAGGAAGAGCGATTAATTTGTTCACACCGCGATATTTTGAGAGAAAAACCTGTCATAGTCACGACATGAAACTGGGCACTCACGTGCCATGGATGGCAGTCCATGAAATGGAACAGTTGTACAGCTGTCCCTTTTCACCCATATAGTGGACATGTCCACACCTGCAGGTGCGGTTGAGTACAATTCGTAAAACAGTATGGTCTGAAAAATGCCTTCGGTCCAAAAGAAGAGTCAGTTAAAGGCGCAAACTGGTGGTAAGTTAGTGCAAACAGACAGAAAAGCCAGTTACTGGTTCCAAACATAGGCGTTCAAAGAAGTATGCAAGACATGAAGTTACCGAGATCGGAGTTAGTCTCACCAGACTGACTCTCGTTTAGCGAAGCGGTATGACTAGTCGGTTTCCGTTTCGCGGCGTGTGGATTGCGGATTGTCATCTCGTCAGAACTAACTCAGTCTGAGCCAAAAAAATATAAAAGAGCACCAGGCCCAAAAGTAGCTCTTCGCAAACATCAAGCATTAGGGGATCTGCAAGTCGGAAGATCAGCTGACCAAAAAAGTGACAACAACGTACCGGTCCCTATGCTGCGTTACTGTACAACCGCGGAGGGTTGAACTCGAAAGGGAATAATGTAGACGAACCGGAATTCATGCAGTTAACTAGCCATGCTGCGAACGCTAGAATGCGGTTGAGAACAGCCAATGATGGTAAGATAAAAGATACAGCAGAGAAAGCTACAAAAGCGCCAAGTGAAGAGCGAATGTCACACGACGAGAGGCTTCTGCAAATGAAAACTGTCACTGCCTGGCGCCAATTAAGCAGTCATTCGTTCAGCTGGTGGTTGAAAGGATTAAACCCTTAAGTTGTAATCCAGAGGTGTGGGCGACCGCGTGGAATACCCAGCCCATGCACGATTGTTGGTGGTCACGTGGCAGCGAAGCGTCGGTACGGTGTGACGGCATACTGCTGATGCGTCCTTTAGACGGTAACTACAGAATTAGCGATTAACAAATCTCTACCGTGCCCTGATCATGGGTGGCCGTAGAAGCGTGCCGTAAGGTTCATGCAGAGTACGAAAGGATGGAATGTTACACTGCAATACAATACATGACTTCTTCAAATATGCTCCTGATGCCATGGCTGCCGCAGAGGATAATATACGGCACTCTATCTGCTGTATCGAGCAGGGTAGATAGGGATTTGGATGCTACTGCTCAGGGTTTCCCGCATTCTTATTCCCCATTTTGCGCTTTTTCATTTTTACTGTCCCGCCATGACTTCAATTTTATTCCCCTGTTTTCAATCCTTTCAATTCGTGGCCCTCCCCTATCTTTGTTCAGTAGTCATTCATCTCCTAATTTCGACTCACACGTCACTCCGGCCCAGTCCGTAAGTGCATGTCCCGCCAAACGGACAAGGTCAATTCGTCTGCTTCTATTTGGAACCCTCGATCCTCCCTAAGACTGGCCTGTCTCAATATGCGCCCTTTGTTGAAAATTGGCCAACCGGCAGGGCTTGCCCAGACAGTGGAGGCCCAATCAATCGATGTCTGCTACTCGTAATAAACTCGCCTGCAAGATTCGAGTTCGATGACTATCCTCAGATTCCCAACGTGTGACACTGATGGCATCTTATCATCGCATTAGTCCGGAAATGAAGCGGCTTCAAATCCCGGTCAATCCAGTGTGGGCATTGCTCTTAGCCCCCGGGCTGAATCTGGCTTGATCGATTGGGTCCCAATGAACAGCTGGATGTGCACTGTCAGATGACTTGGCTCGTTCAGAGCCTCGAAGTTGCGTGGGTACAAACGGTACTTGCTTGTCATTGCGGCCTTTGCGGTCACAAAGTGTAGCGGTGACTTGGAGAAAGACGAATTCTACCATCAAATTAAAAGCGCTCTTCCGTCACAGAAAAAGTACGTATACTGTGGTACTTGCTGGTGATTTGAACGCAAGTTGGAAAACTGTCCACTGATTAGCTGCATCTGGGCGGTCACCACGGTGTAGGCTCCGGTAATGATAATGGTGAGCGGTTGCTACATCGATGTGAAGATGCTCGTCTCTGTCTTCCGACACAGCACCCGCTGGAGAGTGACATAGCGAACACCAGCCTCGAACCGGCCATGGACGCAAATCGATCACATTGCGATCGGTTACCGCTAAAGAGGACGCGTCCACTCATTCGATTTGGACTCTGATCACGCACTTGTTTGCGTCGACCTCTGGGTGCGTTTCGGTGGACGTCCGCAACGGCCTTGTGAACGCATGGATATTTACCAACCAAAGTACACTGGCCTCTGGGCTGAGTAAACGACTACTGAACACAGCCAGACGTCATTAGCAGCAGGCATGTCTTTTTTGTGAAAAAGCAAATTCAAAAGTTAGACATTAGGTCTCTATACTGTCTCTGGAACTTACGGATGCTCGTTCACGTGTTCCGGCTGGAACCGAATACAATGAGGCTCTTAAGGCATTTAGGGCGAAACTACGCGCTAGCCTGAAGAGAAACCGCGGAGCCTGATGGTCTTGTCGTGCCTGGGAAATAGAAATAGTCGTTGTCGTTGGTAACCACCATAAGTTATTCCGTCTGCTACGGGAAACGGGTAGCAGGAAACCTGGTGTTAGCGAGACCATTTGCGACGAGAGTGGACAGCTGATCCACGGTTTGTCAAAATGTTTGGGGCGTTGGGCCGAACACTTTGAAAAGCAGCTCAATCAGTCAGAGTTACCATTTTTTCCAGCGGCCAATGAGTGCCCTAATCCCTGCGTCATCCTCTTGGATACGCTTCGCCTGCAGAAATCGAACGTGAGATCAGACTGTTGAAATAGAAAAAGGCTGCTGGAGCAGATGGACTTCATACAGCCCCCTTCAAATTTAGGGACCATGCTCTTTTGGACGAGTTGCCTAACTTACTAGTGAATCTATGGGAGCAGGAAACCGTCCCGACAGACAGGAGACGCTATGTAGTAGTTCCAATTTTCAAGGGAACCTACCATTCCGAATGCGGTAGTCATAGAAGAATCAGTCTGATCTTCATTACCTCCAAGCTGCTTGCGTCTGTCGTCCTCCATAGACTGTTAGGCACTCGTTAAAGCCAGATGCGAGAGGAGCAAGCCGGATTTCGTCGAAATTGTGGCTTCATCGACCACATCTTTATTTTGCGTCTGTTGTTGCAGCACCGCCATGTTTGCTGGCGACTGACCGTGTTTTTCGGCATAAAAGGTGTCTTTGATCCGGTTTATTGATGTGCCCTTTAGAATTGTCTACTCAGGAAAGGTGTGCCCGAGAAATACGTAAACATTATCGGAGCGCTATATGCGTGTAAGTCGGGCAGAGTGAATGTCAACAGCAAGTTTTCGCCGCACTTCAATGTTTCCAGCGGTGTAAGACAAGGTAGCCCGCTGTAACCTTTGTTCTTTACCTTCGTCATTACGAAGTCATGGAGACTGCGTTCAAGAGACACGACTTAGAAGATATGGAGCTGCTCCCTGATGAAGGACTTCTCGATTTGGAGCATGCCGACGACATTGCGTCCATCTGTGACAGTCCCGAACGTGCCAAGCTGCAGTGTATAAATTAGCTCTGGCTGTCAGTCGTTTCGGGCTATGCTTTGCACCATCGAAATGCAAAGTTCTTCTCCAAGATTGACAAGGACCCACCCCTGCGCTGACTCTTAACGGTGATAATTTAGAAGTCGTAGAGAAATTCAAGTATTCGGGTAGTTATATCAGCGACAGTGGAACGGAAGATGAGATCACAAACTGTATAGAAGCCCAATGTGTTTTTGCCAATCTCCGCCATCTATGGCGCCTGCTTGACATCACTCTAGCTCTGAAGGGCAGAGTTTACAATGCAGCCGTCGGTAAAACCCTCCTGTACAGTTGCGAAACTTGGCCCATCAAGTCGACAGACGTAAAGATGCTACCTACGTTCGATCATCGCTGCCATCGCAGCTTAGCTCATGTTTAATGGAAGCACCACATGAGCAATGAGCATATTCGGCATCGCGTATTTGGTGCAGGAAGAGCGAGTGAACCACTCAGCATCGTTATTTCACGTACCAGGCACCGATGGCTGGGCAACGTGTTGCGCATGTCAGCCCACCGACACCCGCGACGTGCGGTTTGCGCGCAGGGGGTGTGGATGGACGAAGAGGAGGGGAGGCCATCATTTACTTGGTCGAGAGCGATGAAGTCCCTCAGGTCGAATTTGGCGTCAGTTGGTGCTTCCAGACTGCCTGGCTGGCTTGTTGACCCAGCGAAAGTCACTAATATGCTGCGCGAGCGCTTGTTGGAGTAATAGCACTGTGTCTTTTTCCACTTTTCTACCCAAGCGTATATATTGATATTATCATGCAGGTGTCCGCAGTGGTGGTGTAAATGCTGAAAACGAACTCATTAGGGTACGTAAAGCTCACTTTGACTTTGACTTGACTTGTATGGTTGGATAAGCTAGCTGACATGGCGAAGAGTCGAGCTCAGTGGGATTTGTGTTGTGGGTCTCTTTGATCTTTCCCTTCCCTTTAGCATCCGCCGCCAACACACAACAAAAACGAAAGTAGCATTATTTGACTCGTTTATAGCTTTCAAGTCTACAGTGGTTAATGGCTTATTTTCTTGTACTGCGGCAGATTAGCTGAGGTGTGTTTCACCCTCGATTAACTTGTATGATGATGATGATGATGATGATGATGAACACTGCAGGTATCAAGTGCGATAGTAGAGCCAAGAGATCTGAGGATTGATGCAATGAGAGTGCAGATACTCGTGGGTCTTGAATTGATGGGTGGAGGAAGGAATAAACATTCAGCTAGAACGAATATAAGAAAAGAAACTGGGCGGAGTACAATGTAGATGTTAAGAGACCAAGGGACAACTAAGCAGTAAAATTTCATCGGTTTGCCCGAATAGAACGTAATGATAACACTAACTAACCTCCTACGTCACGTGCAGACACCTCTGCGCCGTGTTCCAGCAGCAGCTCAACCACTTCACGGTGGCCATAACCAGCTGCGAAGTGAAGTGGTGTGGACTTTCGACCGGAACAGTCAGTGGAATTGACACCCACTCCATCCTCCAACAGACGCTTTACACATGCCAAGTCTCCGTTGCGGCAAGCGTCAAATATTTGGCTACCCAGCATCGATGGTAACAGTTCGGGAGTTAAACCAGCATTGTAGTTGTGCATGTCAGTAGACGGACGGCTTCTAGAATGACCATGGGCATCACCAACCGAAACGGTGCGGTGGGTGATATCGGTGCTGGGAGCTCCGTGGTCGGTCATCCAGATTTTACCAACTATGGATGAAAAGCAAGTGAAAGAAAATCAGATGATAGGCGCAAGGAAAGACATAAGGGTAACTGACAAAATGACTCAGAGTACGGCATTATCATCATCATTATACACGTTAGCTGGAGGTGTAAAAACACCTCAGCTACTGTGCCGCAATACATAGAAGAAAAAAGAAAGTAAATACAACAGTTGCATGCCAGCTGAGCTACCAGCAACGGATGGGCATCGTTCCGGAAAGCTAACAGCCCTCTACTAGGCAACAAGAAAAGTTATGATGTAGGAGTTGTAAAAGAAGGATATTACATGTGATAAACGTTTAAGCCGTTGCAGAAAACCAGGCGCTAAACAAAGATGACACTGAGCCACTCATTACCACCAATGGTTGGCTGCTTGCAGGAGGGTCGAGCATAAATGACAAACGCGATCATGCAAATGCGATTGGCTACTCTAGTTTCGTTTGCGGACTAGCAAAGGAAAAAGGAACACAAGTTGCAGGATTACTGCGATAAGTTTTCGTTAGCAAACATCAACAACAGCAATACATCAGCCATTTGGATTGATGCTTCGCCGCCGTACAACAACGGCGACCTACGGGACGAAGAACAATATGAGAGAAGGGTGACCTGGCGTAAAAACTATAATGCCCTAAACAAACACCAAGAATCAAGGTACCTACGCCTTGTCAACAACATACCTTCACAAACGGCTGGCTATCGCGCAAAGATAAGGCGGCATTAGTGAGTCAGTTTCTTTGCGGATTTCATTGCACCGAGTCACGGTCAACCATTACCCCGAGCATAAGTTAGCAATAAACACATTTTGGGCAGGCAGTCCGACTAAGAGACGGCAACAGAAGTGTCACTGGTGCCAAATGCAAGCCATGACCCGTAAATTCTCGAGTCAAGCACAAGGCGAGCCACGTGTATTACAGCCTGGCAGGCGAGACGGATCGGTAGCACAGAGATTGGTCGTTGGTGACTTCAGTTCCCGTTACCAAGTTAACTTTTGTCCACTTCGGGCTTGCACCCTCCTCGATAAGCGCTGACTGGGCATACCGGAGAGCCTATGGTGCGCTGAGGCTGGTGGTGGCTAGATCCTGACAGATGGTCTACCCACTGCTGCTAATGTTGTGCCATGGGCTCATGTCCTGGACGCCTCCTCGTGGCGACCGCTGGGTGGGAGTTGGGTTACGCCCTTCTCCCTGCTAAGATCCAGGACACTAATCCGCATGAGTCAGTGAACTGACCATGTGCTGGACCCGCTGCCTTTCGGGTGTACATTTAATCGAAGGCTTTTTCTGAGGACCCGAATCATTCTACTGCCAGGTACGGGCGCCCTGCCAGTATCCTGGTCCATTCTCTTCGGAGGATAGCAAGTGGTCGATGGCCTTCTTCCCGTAAAACCTAGCCATGGGAGACAACAGGTCTACGAGTTATAAGCTCACAACTCGATTGGCGTAGAGCACGAGCGCTACGTATTGTCTCTGACGGTGGGAGGGCACCTCCGGGTGCTCAATGGTTTACTACTGCCCGCCACAAGCCAGACAGCCCCTGGTCAAATTGATGCAAATCCACCAAAACCCACCTGCGTCTGGAAGTGGTCACAGGTGTATCCTACTACGGTCGCAAAATATGTATGAATTGTTCCAGATCTCCGAAGGCTGTGTGTGACGGACCTCAAGCAGATCCCAACCTGTCTCTGCAATCACAATCCCGAGCTAGGTCTGCTCCCCACTGTTTTGTAGTTCAGCAGATTGAGCCAAAGGCTCCGGGCGCAGTCCCTCAAGCAAACCTCCGAAGAACAACCGCCACCTCGCGTGCGAGTGCCCATCATTGCAATCGTATTCCTGCGCGCAAAGCACTCAGCATCGGGTGAGCATACTACTGGCCCGGAACTCGAGTGAGCACCCCGAGCGACGCACTGCACTGGTCGCGATGGAACTGGCGCGTTACCACATCGATATTGCGGCGCTCAATGAGACTCGGCTCGCTGAGCAGGTGCTGGCTACACGTCCAACTTTGTGGGCAACGCTACCTCAGTACCACGTGATCATGGGGTCGGATTTGCAATATCCGATCGCCTACATGGCCAGTTGGCGCGCGACTGATGACTGTTCGCCTACGACTCGGAAAACGTAAGTTTGCCACTTTTATAAGCACGAGCAAGTGTTATCCTGATGACACGTGTGATCAATTCTACACTCAGCTATCCTTCGTGTTACGGTGTGCCGAGGAGTGACTGACTATTCCTGCTGGGTAATTTCAACGCGCGGGTTAGGCGTGATGCATCGGTGTGGACAGATGTCATCGGTCTGCATGGTATTAGTTCAGCGAATGTGAACGGTGACAGGCTGCTCTCACTATGTGCCGCTCACGGCCAGACAATCACGAACACTCCGTTTGCACTGAGTGCGATTGGTATAGCAACTTGGACACACCCACGGATTGTTCACGCTCACCTGCTCGACTATGTCATCATACATCAGCGCGATATGCGTGAAGTGCACATGACACGTGTACTACGTGGAGCTGAGTGTGGCAATGATCACAAGTTAGTGCGGACCAAACTATACATATAGTGTCGTAAATCCAGGTTTGGAACTCCCGCAGTAAAGCAGTGTAAATTTATCATCCTCTCCCTCGGTATTGTGGCGAAACGTATTGAGGTGGAGAAGGCGATGGCTGCACGTCTGTGTGATGTGGAATGCATAGCCACAGTTGGCGACCTGTGACACCACATTCGCGACCAGGTGACAGTTGCAGCCGAAGAGACCATCAGACGCGCAAACTGTAAGCGGCCTGATTGGTTTGATGAGAAGAATGCGACGATTGACGCATAGGTATCGGAGAAGAATGCAGCATTTGCTGCACATGTGGCAGACTCTAGTGAGTAGGGGAATAAGAGCCAGTTTCGAAAACTTCGACGGCGACTGACCAGAGAGCTCCGTCGCATTAAAAATGCATGGCGGACGGAGAAGGCGAAGCAGATGGAATGCTACGCCAAACACCACCAACACAAAGAATTCTTTGACTCATTGAAAGCGGTATATGGACCGAGATTGGAGCCGCTGAGGACGCTGATCGCTCAGGTGATATCTGCACACAGACTATAGACATAATCTGGCAAGAACACTTTGACTGTCTTGAACAACTTTTCAGAGATTGACTGGTCTTTGAACGGTCTCAAGCAGCAGGATGTGAAGACGGGTCTGGCGGACACGCCGACACTGGATGCGACGCAGAGAGCACTTGTTCAGCTGCGAAACGGCAAGTGTACTGGGGCTGACGGGATCCTGCCTGAAGTATTGAAACACGGCGGACCCGCGTTGGTGACTGCGCTGCACCGCTTGGTGCAACGCATATGGATTGAGGAGGAAGTGCCTACTGAACTGAAGGATGCCCTTGTGCTACCACTGTACAAGGGCAAAGGAAGCAGGCAATGTTGCACGAAGTATCGTGGCATTAAGTTGCTGAGTTGTGTGGGCAAGGTGATTGCCCGAATCCTGCTCAACCGCCTCGTCAGTCAGGTTGTGGAACCGAACGTGGCGGAAGAGCAGTGTGGATTCCTTTCGGGTCACAGCGGCTCGTCAGTTGCAAGAGAAGTGCAGAGAACGACACCAACCATTGTACTCGCCTTTTGTTGAGTTCACTAACGCATTTGATACGGTGAACCGCGAGGCATTGTGGTTAATGTCGGGATAGTTTGTTTGGCCGAGTAATTTTGTAAGTTTAATTGAATGTCTGCACAGTGGTATGCGGGCGAGGGTGCAACTGTTTGGACAGACTTTGGACGACTTTGTATTTGTCTTTGGTGTGAAGCTCCTGCACTGCGTAATATGTATCTTCATGCCATGATGTATTGTGCTTTTGAGGCGGCTTGTGTTTACGGCATCGTGTGGAGCACCGTATTGATGCTGAATTGCTGAACATCCGTCGTTTCGGTGCGAGAACCCTAGTCTGTAAGACAACTAGCCGTATGCTGCTGTTTGCTGAAGACTGTGCATTGTTTGTACACAGCGCGGATGAGTTGCAGCACATGACTAGTGCTCTGGCTTCGACAGCGGACAAATTCGGGCTCACCATCAACACAAGCAAAGCTGGCTGTCTCTTTCAGCCTTCACCGTAAGTGCAACCTACAATATTGCCGCAAATTAACATTGGTGATGAAGTATCGGAAACCACCTCCCGCTTCTGCTACCTTGGGTGTGTGGTGTCGACTGATCAGCAGCTGCACAGTGAGCTTCGTATCCGTGTCACGAAGCCAACGGCGGCATAGGGGAAGCCCCGTACCGAGTGTGAAACAAGTATCAGCTTACCATTGGCAAGAAGCTGATGGTGTACTAATCCATGGTGCTGTCCGTCCTTCTATGTGGCAGCGAAACGTGGACGATGTACCGGTCGGGATTTGCGATATCTCGAGCGGTTCCATCAAAGTATCTCATTGGTTGGTGCGACAGAATTGCGAACACGGAAGTGTTGCGCCGTAGTGGAATGTGTGCAATGGACTGCATACTTTTGCTGAGACACCTGAGGTGGCTCGGTCATGTGTGACGTATGGATTCGACTCGGATACCGAAACAACTTTTATACGGTCAGCTGAGTATTGGGAAGCGGCACGTGGGGAAACCAAAGTTACGATACCAGGACATGTTCAAAGTGAGCCTCACACGTTCTAATCTTAATTGCAGGTCATGGGAATCGATAGCGGTTGATCGACGTGCGTGGCGCGATCTAATCACGAAGGCCGTTGCTGAGGTGCAAGAGAAAGCACTCGTGCATGCAGTGAAGAAGCGGCAATTGCGGAAGCGACAGACGCCTATGGGTTGTACTCCGCCGACATTGAGCGCATGGTGCTGTAGCACATGCGGTCGCGAGTGCCTGAGTCAGGCAGGCTTAGTGAGCCGTGAGCGAGGCCACTCGGGGCCAATACTGGAACGACGACGAGTCCTGCAGAGAACGTAGGCAGAAGCGGTGCAGCGTTTGTAGGTAGCT